CTGAAAGAGTGACCGCTGGCCTGTAAATGAGTGAAAACTGCAGAGTTCTGGCCATTAGACGTAGCTCGTTGGGACATTCTTTTGAACAGTGGCTGCTTTGTTTCCCCGATGTATAACTGGTCGCAGTCCTCCTGGCACTTAACAGCATATACTGGTACATATACAGTATATATACATATATACTGGTTTTTAAATTGCACAACCTTCTATATTGACTATATTGTTTCTCTGGTTGCTTTATAATTGGATCTAATTGCACTACTCCAAGTATATTGTCTTCTCTGATTACCGCATTGAACTGGTTTACATATGTTTTATATATTTTATTCTATTTGTTCTTTTATCCTTTATACTTTATTTATTTGTTATATTTTATACTTATTGCACTTTTACACAGAAGCAAATTCCTAGTCTGTGAATTATGTTCATTGACAATGGCAATAAAACTGATTCTGATTCTAAAACTGAATTTTGTGAATGTAATACATTAAAAAAAACAACTGAAGCTATGTGACATAAAACGTATCACCATGGTAGCAAGGCAGCGTGTGGTCACAAAAACATACATCTTCTGAAAATCTTCCAGTGGACCTCCACCCTCACTGACAAACAAGTCCTCTGCTGGCAGATGAGGAYGTTATGGCAGGGCGTCCTGAGCTGCTGCTCCTGCCCGGCCACCAGAGAGTCCACATGTATGCTCGGAGGATTTTGGCCAAACAACTGGACACCCACCCTCCCACCCCTCCTGTTGTTCCTGAGCTGGCTATTTCTGCTCCTGTGCTTTCTGTGCCCAAGCTGGCAGTTCCTTCTACCGAGTCGTCTGAGTCATCTGGGTCAGCAGTTCCTGTAGTTCCTGACATTCCTGAGTCTGCTGAGTCATCTGTTCTTTCTTTTTTTATTTTTTCTGTTTTTCTTTTTTGCCCAAGTTGTCCAGGGGCAAAAAGAAAAAAATTCTGACTTCTAATTTTTTTCTAAGTTATTTTTTTTTGTCCAAGCCATCAGAGGCAAAAAAGGAAGAAAAAAAAATCTGACGTCATTATTTCAAAGTTTTTCTTTCTTTTTATTTCCAAGCTGTCAGAGGCAAAAAGGAAAAAATAAATAAATAAATCGGACTCGTCATTTTTTCTGGTATTTTGTTCATACCGTCACACGCAAAAAGAAAAAAAAATCTGACTTGTCATTTTTTCTAAGATTTTCTCTCTTTTTTTGTCCAAGCCAGACAGAGGCAAAAAGAAAAAAAAAATTGACGTCAAATGTCTGTTTTTCTTTTTTCTTTTTTTTTGTCCAAGCCATCACAGGCAAAAGGGGAAAAAATCTGACTTGCCATTTCTTTCTCAATTTTCTCTCTCTTGTACATCTGAAAGGCAAGAGAGCAAAACTTTTTTTTTTCCTGTGTAAATTTTTAAGTTTTTAAGTGTGTCCTGATGCATCTCAGTAATCCAGGTAAAAAATCAAAAGGAAAAAAATTGTATAGGTCCTCTGGACGGGTTCTTCTTTAATGAATTCATTAAAGAAGAACCCGTCCAGAGGACCTATACAATTTTTTTTCCTTTTTTAAGTGTGTGTTTTTGTAAAACCTTCTCTGGCCACAAAAAGAGTGGCGCCACCAGCTTGGGTGAAGGGACTGCAAAAAGTAAGAAGTTATGAGTATTATGGTAAGCCTGGTCCTAAAAGAAATGTTGAGATGTTTTTAGGCAAAAAATTAGACCTTAAATGGCCATAACTGGGGTCGTTCTTTAAAAAAAAAACTGCCTACATTTAATTTTGCCTTGGTGTTTTCGGACATGCAAAGCCCACAAGCTTCATTCAGGCCTTTGTTTGTGAAAAAACGAAAGTCACAGTGGTAGGACTTCCTGTTTAGCAATGCTGCTGTTTTGAGTTTGTCAAGCCCTCTCCTGTGGTAAAACACAGCCTGTAAGTTTGTTSTTTTATTTTTTGTGTCARGTATTAAACAAACGTGTACTGTMCSTGATTTTGATTCGRATTATTTCATGTGTSAAGTATTAAACTAATGTGTACTGTACACCAAATTTTTCTAAGAGTTGTAGTTTTTGAGTCAGSAGAAGTGTTTATATGCATCTGAYGTAGCATATTAGCATTTGTTAGCTCGTTTTGTTTCAGCACTTTCATGTGTTGYACRTTATTTTACACTTTTACTCTGACCAATGTTATACCGAATAACGTTCAGTATCAACAACTGTTCATGCTTCATCATCRGGAAGAGTAAACTTTGTCTAAAAACCTGCAACTCAGTGAAGGTCTAAAAATTATTATTTTTTAATTTATCACTATGCATTATGTATAACTACTGTCAGGGTTGGACGCAGAGAGAACCCAAAAGCAGGCGGACTCGAGGAGCTCATAAAAAATAAAACTATTTATTTAAACAAAACCAAAAAGCTGATGAGGCAGCAAAACTCACAAAATTCCATAAAGCACAGGGAGACAACGAGGAGACCAAGACGGCAGGATAAACCAAACAATGAACCAGCGAGGGTGTGGAGGACTAAACCAGAATAAATACAAATAGAGGGAATGAGGCGATGAACAACAGCTGAGAAGAGACTGATGAGATAACTACTGACAGGTGCGTGTGACAGAGGAGGAAAGGACAGGTAAACAACTAAGGAGATGAAAGCGTGATAACAAGAGAACACAAGAGGGAGGTAGAACACAAGACACACAAAACACATCCTCAGTTACATATTTTCTATGGAAATGTTTGAACCCGAGTGGCTTTTAAAAAAAACTGTATATATAAATAATGTGTAGCCAGTCATCAAATATTTTCAGAATTTATTGACAATCTTGTGATTTTAGGTGATTCTTTTTTTTCATTTTCAAGCACATGTAGGAATGAAAATGAAAAGATACACACATGGTTGTTTTACTATCCTTATAAGGACAGTCACTGATTTTCAACTCCACATTTGGGGAACAAGCTTAGAAACACATACAGTACAGTGTTTGGCCTCAAAAGGCTGTGTGTTCTAGGGAAAACTGTCAAAATTAGTTAACACAAAAGAACAAATATAAGTCCATTGGRACCAGAAATGTAGACACACATTTCGTCAACTTTAAATTGATGAGAACCACTTAAAGGCACACTCATAGAGAAGGAGCTCATCAGGTGCTGTAGCAAATTGGTCCTCAAACAGACCTTATAAAAGCTCCCCATCGTGCTGCAAATCTGTGGCACACAAGATTGACAGGATACTGGAAACAAAATGAGCCAAAGCTGACAGGCATAAACGGGCTTGGACCCCAGTCATAACTGTTTCGCAGTTCTAGTCATCATATTGTGATTGTTRTTGGATGTTATGTCCACCTGGTCATGATATCATTTTAATTGCTATAAAAACTTTCTTGAAATTCAAAATAGGTTTGATGAGCAGCAAACAATGATCTTCAACACTGAGTCACTTTGCAGGGTAAAGGCCACCATGTGTTCGATAAATGCCAGCATTAGTGACATCATGGATCTTACAATGACAGGAGTTTCTCCACATTCTTGTGATTTTAGTCATAGTACTACACTTATATAATACATAACCATAATTCACTGCTGCAGTAGACGTTTATGTAAATGGAGCTGCTAGGCAGGATGAGAGGAAGAAAGAAAGTTTATGGACGTAGTAGAGGACATAACGATGGTTGGTTTGACCACAGAGAAGGCAGCAGAATGGATGTGGTATAAATTTTTCTTACTGCACAGTGCAATGCATGATGTGAGCCACCATTTGCAACTTATTTTGTTCCTACTCTTTAGCCTTTTGTTTTCAATGCCGCATGTTATGGGTCAATAGGGTTTTATTGGCCCAGGACTCACACTCCAAATAAATACTCAGGCAAATAAAAAAGTGCCTAGGAAACAAAAAACACCTAATTACAAAGCAGATTCCTATCACAGAGATGCCTTTTCACATTGGATTAGTATTATTACAGGATCTTGGAGTTCTGAAAAATTTAGTAGGTAATTTGCAGGGGAATTTTTATTACAAATACATGCAGTTATAACAAATAGAAYTGGGTCCCTAGGTAAAAAATAATCCTGTGAGAATAGGGCTTAAAACAGCAAAGAAAATGATTCACAACATTCTATTTTTGTTCGCTGATTGGCCTGGTTGAAAATCTACCAGAAAAATCCATGTCAAGGGGATAAAGACCTGATGGAGCAAAGATGGCAGCTTTGTAATCTATCCAGCACACAACTGTAATCTGTCTTTATTATGACCCCCGCACGCGAAGCGTAAGCGGAAGTCATATTGTTTTTGTACGGTTTTATTAATTTATTTTATTTACTTTTTTTTCAGTGATTTTGGATCAACTGTAGAACAAAAACGGCTGCACCAATCAACATGAAATTTGGCAGGACTGTAGATGAGTCCGACCTACACTGCGCCAGCCAACGGTTTTACGATAGAGCCCATATTTGAGGAGGGGGCTCCTTTCAAAGAGAGGGGTGTCAGGACTTGCAAAATCGCTTATAACTCAGAAACTGTTCAACATAGAAGATTCAGATTTATTTTGTTGTTTAGCTCTGATGAAGCTCTATCCATCAGGCCCACCAATCAGTGCCCCCAATTTATCTGAAAAAGGGGTATCTGGACATACAAAAATGGTTATAGCTCAAGAACTATTAAACATAGGAGCTTCAGGTTTCTTTTGTTGTTTAGCTCTGATGAGGGACTATCCATCAGGTCAACCAATGCCCCCCCCCCCCCACACACACACACACACACACACAC